TACATGTAAATACAGTAATATTTCTTCATATTTCCCTTCTGGCAAACAATAGTATTTTTGTACTGCTGGGCATGTTAATGTGTGAAAGATATGTAAGTCCCAGGTAGGTGTGAACAAATGGCAGATAGACTTAAAAAAGAGGAGGAGGAGGAGGGAGGGAGGGGAAAGAAAAAAACCCAAACCCAACAAACTTCTTCAGGTAGTTACTATTTATTTTTATAATTCTTTATGCAGACCCTTGCTTACACAGTTCTTGCTTTTGAAATTGCTTTGGGCATGTATGTTGAATTAGTGTAGCATCAGTTTCAGGTGTCTGTATTTTGGGGGGAAGAGAAGAGAGAATGATCTGAGCTCTACTCAGGTAAAAATGATTAAAATTCTTATATATACACACACACGCTTCATGCTTTTTGGCCATTTGTGAATCATGGAGCAAAGACTCATGGTTGACCTGGGGTATGGGTATGTGTGGGTGTTAGGTTGTGCTGTAAACTAGACCCCCAAATACGTATGAGTCAAAATAATCTTCTTGCTTTGGATGTTTGAAGGAATATTGGTCTTGCTTTGATTTTTGCACTTTTCTGTACCTAAACGTTGCTCTACCCCACTTGCTACCTATCCATGCAAATAACTATTGCTGTTTTGTAATGCCTTTTGTTGGCACCAACTTTGAAATCATATAATAGAAGAGATAAGAATGATAAAGAAGGTACTATTACTAAGGAAGTATAGCAGACCTAGTCCTGTTGCCAGTTTCATTTGACCTTGCCACTGGAGTCTCTAGTCATAAATTGTAATTGATATCAACACTGATCTTAAGAACTGTGTGAGAGGAAGTTCACATTCCCAATACATTCAGGACAGGTGAAAAGCAGGCCAGCTTTGCTATTTTCTAGGAAATCTTATACCAAATACCAATTGCTGAATTGGTATAAGGAATTCACAAGTTCAAAAAAACCTAGAGCACTTAGGAAGAGAAAATGAATAAAAAGAGAAAATTAATTTAGAAATGTCTTAAAGCAAAACCAGTAGTTATAGATCTGGAACCAGTTGATCACTGGTGTTTGTTTCAGATGTGGGAAAATAATGGTAATATCAGCACACATATACAAAGACGAAACCAAAGATCGGGTTTGCACTTTGTTGTAAACAGATTGTGCTCATAAGCTTGAATATCTGCTAAAAATAGTGGATTTAAAAAGTTGAGATTAAGGGAACCACTATAGGCAAGCCTGGCACTAGATACTGTCAAAAAACTGCAATAGTGATAAAACTGTGCCTGATATCCAGGTTTGTTATTTCTGGAATAACATTCTTTCTCAAAACTGTTCATGTAACTTGAAATTATCTAGACAACTTAAAAAATTCAGATTATCTGTGAAAAATTTAATAAAGAGATTCATATGTGGGAATGGTATACTGAAGTATAATGTTTTCTTATTTCCAATGTAATACAGAAGAGAAGATGCACATGCTTGAGATGTGCTCTAAGAAGGAATTGAGTTCTCTGCCATGACAAGCATAATATTGGACACGCAGCAGAGCACTTAGGCAGTCCAGCTAGAAAAGTCTCTCCAAATGCTTTTAGGAGAGAGAATTTAGGGAATTTAATGACATAAGATATGCAAAAGAGCAGCCTGGGCTGTACAAGAATCATTAAACTCTCATTTATACTCTGAAATGTTTAGAGAGCAAGAAGTATACAACTGGATTCTTTTTTTTTTTTATTTTTAAATTAGGAATTGAAAAGATTTACGTAAAAGGGTGATTATTGTTGCAGCATAACTGCAGTAATATAAGTGTGTGTTATAAAAGCATATAATTGAAAATATACTCAGTAGATAGTTATGAAACCAAGACAGGCAAACTGAAAACGGCAGATGTACACTGAATACATACTGGGGATGTAGTTACTGGAAAGGTTCTTATTTATGACTTCAGTGAACTGCTGTAGCCTGTAACTTCTGTGCTCTAACTTCTCTATATTTCTGCTTATTGTGCTTAAGATTCTTGAAAAGTAGAAATTTTATCCAGAGATTTTGTTTTAAAACTATTATTGGAAATATGTGCTTATATAGACTTCATAAAGGTCCAGGTAGCACACATGTGCTTCTCTTAAAATTGATTAGCGATAGGACAAGGGGTAATGGCCTTAAGCTGAAGGAGGGTAGATTTAGATTAGATATCAGGAAGAAATTCTTCTCTATGAGGGTGGTGAGGCACTGGAACAGGTTGCCCAGAGAGATTGTGGATGCCCCCTCCCTGCAAGTGTTCAAGGCCAGGTTGGATGGGGCTTTGGGCAACCTGGTCTAGTGAGGGGTGTCCCTGCCTGTGGCAGGGGGGTTGGAACAGGATGATCTTCAAGGTCCCTTACAACTCAAACCATTCTATGATTCTGTGATTGTTTTCCGATAGTCATTTCCACATTTAACCCAAATATGTCCCTGAAAGTACATATTCTTAATTACATTTCACAGTTTTACATTGCACCTTTAAATGAATAAATTTATAATTTCCTTCTTATGCTCTCATTCCTTAGATAATTATGCAGTTTTGCAGTCTGCATATGGCCTCTTTTTTCAATTGAATAATTTGCTTCAAACAGCAAGATATTCAAATGTTGTAGCTAATATGAAAGGCTATATAATTATTGGTAACTAATTGTCTTATGATTGATGCATTACCAGTCTGTTTTGAATGCTTTTTATACAGGTATCTTTTGAAAGTAGTCCATTAATTTGTTTCTATAGAATTGCACTAGGGGACCTCTGAAGATGCACAGAATTATCCCACACTGTTGCTTAGCTCAGTGTGAGAACATGTCCTTCTGCTTGTGCTGCTCTGTATTTTTTGCTCCTCTTAAAAAGATAGCTGACAAGAACTGTTTAAAAATAGCACGCCAAGGGCAGGTGACAAAATGTCACACAAGCAGCACCTGGTCCAGTGACAGCCTGGAGGGAGGAAAAAAACAAACCCAGATGTCACAGATACAATTCTATTTCTGAAGCTGGTCAAACAGCAGAATTTCAGCTTCAGCAAAGGAAAGGAGAAGGGCCCACCTAAGCATTATGCATTCAAATTTTACTCTAGTTTTCTCATAGCAGTTCCCTTTTTTCTATTGCAAGTAATAGTTTACAAGTATAGATTATTATATACACCTTTTCTCTTTACAAGGAATACCTGTAACCTCATGCTTATCACTATGCTGTTAAGGAAAAGGGAATTAATGTCAATCTGGCAAGATTTCTGAAATATTTTGGCACAAGCTTACACTAACTGAAATAATAGCAGCTCTAATGTTTCTGCAGTGCTAGGTTAATGTGCAGATATGTATAGGAGAATTATATCTGTAATTAGGAAATCTGAAGTAGTTAATGAAGATATCTTTAAGCAGCTTTGCTCAAGGAGTTGGAAAGTAAAAATGGAAATTTTATTTACCTTCCTTCTGCCCCCACTTCTTTCTGGAAGTGCTGTTTGCTTCATAGTCTTATTGTGGTGGCACATTTTTTTCTAAAAGAATGAGAAAATTATAATGTGAAGAAAATACGTATTTGCTTTTCTTAAACTGCTTGTGACTCAGTTTCAGAAGTGTACTGAAACTTCATGTTGCATCTGTTCAGAAAGAATATTAATTGCAGCACGGCAGTCTCTGTGACTGCAAATAGAAGGCTTTAACTTATTGATAGGAACTAAAAATGTTGGAGAAGATTGGCTTTAGTTCTGCTTTGTCAATGCTTATTTGTTACAACTTGGTTTTGCAGAAGTACAGGAACTTAACTGTTATATTGGTTCTTCAGTATAGTGAGTGGGTCTTGAGCTCCCGTATTTGAGTGCCAATGCAGTGAAGAAATGTAAACTGCCTGCTTCCTTAGCTCCCAAACTTAATCACAAATCTAGAGAGAAAGAAAGCATGTGAAATGGATTGCAGCACTTGTCAGTAACTTAGGTTACTTACATTACTTAATTGAAATAAATTTTTATGTGGCTATAATGATCCTTTTATATCTTTTTCCAAACAAGGACTAATATCAATTATAGCTTTCAAATTATTTCAGGGAGGCTTAATTAAGAAAGTCCTGTTACAAAGTTTCTTCAGGCCAAGTTTTGATAATTTAGCTCAGTTAAATATTATCTAAAACTAATCTGAACAGTAGTAGAGTTGTCTCTTTTCTTGCTTTGACTGTAAAAGTAGATTTCTGTGGACTGTCTCCTTTGAAACAAACCATGTGTGACTTTGTTCCCACTTCCAGTTCCTGAAGTCATCAGAGATCTTAAGCCAACCTTTCAATTGTTAAATCTCACCTGGGAAAATTGGTACTATTTTGCATCTCTCTAGCTTTCTGGAAACTGGCACCAGCAGAGTTAATTTGAATTTCATGGTGACCCTTCTGTATATGATGTTCCCATATTATGGGTCAAGAATAAATATTTTTTCAAAGTAAATACAAATGTACTCCATCAGAACAACACTCCCTCCAACCCAGTATCTTATCTCAAATAGTTAGTGATAGCAGATTCTTAGGAAAGGATACAAAAACAGGGTAAGCACTCTGTCTCCAGCGATCTGTTAACTTGAGACTTCTGATGTCACAGGTAGTATAGAAAATAGTGATTTATTTTTACCAATTCACCAGAGTTTTTGTAATGCTGTATTCATTATTTGAAGCCTACTATAAATGGCATAACTGCAGCAAGATTGTGAACTTTGAGGCCTTATTTTGAAAGGGTAAATGTAATACTTTCCTAGTACAAAGCAAAGAGATGTATTAAAAAAATAATTATTTCATTGTTTATTTTGTGAGTTTCAGTATTTTACGTACATAACACTAAAGGTACTGTGGTCTTCAATATCGTAAATGTGTATTCTTGGGAAGTTGTCTTCAGTAGATGGAAGATTTGGCTACCCTGACTGTTCATCCCCTTTAGCAATTTTTCATTTTAATGAATTTAATTCAGTTTTGAAATAAAAACATTAAAAATAGCTTTTATTTACATTGCAGGGCGTATGGGAATAAACTTCCATCATCCAGGAACAGACAATATTATGGCTCTTAATAGTAAGTAGTTAATATCTTGTGACTAATATTGTCATGTTGAATATTATTTCTTAAATTTATTGTGTACATAGCTGTATAGTCAGACATAAATATGTGTAATAATATTTACATAGAAGTTTATGTGCACTCTCTTAAAATGATTTTCATAAATCAATCATCTCTGATTTTCTTGGTAGAATTGGTGATTCTTTATATTAGCTTTATAATAGCTTTGTTTGTTCCACTAGAAGCTTCATAAAGCCTGCTAGATAATATTGCAAAACAATCTCTATTGTTCTCTCTTTTGTGGGTGTGTATGTGTGTTAAATCTGTAAATTTAATTTCTGATATCTCTCCAGACATATTTCTTTTTGTTCAATGAGTCATTACAGGTTTTGCATACAATTACCTTGATTGATGGAGTTTACTTTGATGGTTTCCCTAAGACGTTATGTAGACAGGACTGGAGAGAATGTTTAGACATCTAAATAATGAGGAAAAAGGTGGGGGGCTGAACTTCACTGAAAGATTATTGCTTTTGTTGGTGCTGGAAAAGAAAAATAAATTTAAAAAATCCAATCATGAACATTACATTCAAAAAACCTGTCAAACTGGATCTGGAAGCTCCAGAGACAGTTTCGTATCATGGAGTGGGGGCTGGTGGGGATGTGGTGTTAGGCACCACCAGCATAATGTAGAACTGAACTATGCAAATCAAAGCAGAGTTTTTGTTCATCTAATCCTAAGAAATGCTAACTATTTTGAAATGTCTGGTTTTGCTTACAATGTTGTATTAGAGGTGTCAGGATTAATTTACTGACTTCTCTAAAATTTTTTGCCTTTGCACTGTCTGTGTAGGTTATACTGTGTATAGTTGAAAACTGCAGGGTTTTGTGTAGTACCAAACAGAATTAAGAAATAATTTATAAATGTGAAGAACTGAAAATTTGTAATAGACAAGATGCAAAGGTTTTAACATTTGGCTTTAAATGACGACTTTTGCAATCTGTAAGACTTTGCTTGTGCTCTTATTCTTAGTTTTACACTGTTAATGATGAACTGATATTTTGCAGTTTTGGTTGTCATGGCATATATGTCCCATTTTCTTATGGGCACATGAAATTATGGGATATCAGATAATTAAGTGGGAGAAATGCTCCATTTCAAGAGGAAGCTGTTCATGTGGGTGTGCACGTGTGTAAAGTTCTACATAGTATAGTCTGCTACTGTTTGACATGAATTCTGGTCTCAGAATGTGTTTGTTGTTCTAAGGTGGGCATTTCAATAAACTGATTGCAATAGTAATATAACTGTGAAGATGGGAGATTATGATTGAATTTTGAGTTATTTTTAAAAATTGACAGTTACTATGGAATATATAGCAGTATTTCTTAGAGAGTCTTACAGAGATTTTTTGAAAGACAGGAATGAAAAACTGATACAAAACCCTATACTACATACTGTACTATATCAAATCAGGGTTGTTTCATTTTGGCACAACTCATTTTTATCCTAAATGAATGAATATATTCTGTTCTGATTTCTGTCATTGCTAGATAAACTAAAAAAAAAGTTACCTTTTTAATGGAAACAATATTTAAGAAAATATTTCCTCCTGTCTAATCCCTTTGAAATTTTTACAGCAGCTATATAATCTAATCGTTTATAAAAAAATTATGATCCTTTGCAGCTATAGTCCTGTTGTATAGCTAAAATATTAGTATAGCTAACTGAGGGACCTAACCAAAATAGATTTACGCAATGTTTAAAATATTATGGGCTTATTGAAATATTAACTGTTTACTGACTTACATAAACCTGAAATCATAAATACACGATTTCTGCAAAATAGTAGTGATTGTTCTTTTGAATGAAATTCAGCGCAACTCAAAAGTCTGGATGAGTTCCCATATATTTTCCCTCTCTTGTATCTCTTCTCCCTCCCACTCTTTACTAGGTGAGGCCACACCATTTTTGGCCATTACTAAGAGCCCTGAAGCTGGAATTATTGTACTGTGAAACCTGTTGGGTTTTGCTTTTAAATCTTGGAAGAGTTGAAAATAAAAGCAAGTATTCAAGTACATAAGCTTAAAAATTACTTTCTATGATTTAAATCCTTTTTTTGTATGCAGCTAAAACTGAGAAATTTAGAACTATGTAATTCCCATGTGGTCCATTACCTTTGTCATGGGGAAATATACTAAGGAAAGTTAGTCCAAGAAGAAATATTATTTCCTGTGCTGGAATGGTTGTGGCTTGGGTTTAAAAAAATAAGTAAAATAAAATAAAAATTCCCCCAAGATACTTCATCCCAGTAATTTTGGGAACAATTTGGAGAACTTACGTAACTTCTTTAACTCATAATACTTGTAATATCTATATATAATTTCTGTGAAACCAAACACTGCTGAATTTGCAAATCCAACTGTCACATTCTATTTATAGTCATTGCTACATACGCATATTTCTTTTACTGTGAAGACACAGTAATTATCTTTGAAATTTATTACTCGAAGCTCAATTTCTCACTAACAGTGTATGCAGTCTTGTGAAGCTGGAAGACAGCATAGGCTCATGCCAACAGCAATGCAAAACTACTTCAAGTGTTGTAGGGGGATGGGAAGTTTTCTGAGGAGTGTTTCTCTTTAGCTCCTTCTCATCCTTTATGGCAACACTTTCAACTGCACTTCAGCTGGTATTCTTATTTACTGATTACAGCCTTTTGAAACTAGTGATTTTCCTGACTGACTGTCTCAAACTACTGTCTGTAAATGTTGAAGGAGATTGTTTGGTTTGAGGGAAGGTGTCGCTTGCTAAGTTGGTAGGGCTTGCTGTAGAGCATACTACCACCTTTCATCATTGTGCAAAGCTATAAATCATCATCATTTCAAAGCACTGAGTTCTGAAATAGTAAAATTAGTGAGATAGAAGAGATTACTTTTAAATGCATGATTATTATGAATCTCTTCTTGTCATTCATGGTATTATGCTTGCGTACATACACAAACTGTTGCAGATGTGTATAAGCATGTTTATATTGTAGAGGCACTTGAAGTTCTCTATCAGAATGAGGTTTCTGTTGAGGAATGCAAAGTTCAAATATTCAGAGAGATCTGAACATAATTCTAAGAGCATTTAAACAAAAGGAAGATGCCAGTATTTAGATTTGAAACATTGTTCAAAAGGAAAAATCTATAGCTTTTTTCTATACTAGCTCTAATTGAAATTTCTCTAATTGAAATAGTGTTTTTAATCGAGTAGTGACATTGGTTTGTTAACTTTTTAATAATGTAATTCATACTGAGCTAAACAGTAGAAGAATTTTTATAAACTTGCATCTACAGCAGCTTATTAAATACAATAGATACAGAATTGTATTGCTAGGATCCCAAACGAACTTCTATAAAATTAACTTAGACTAAACCTAGTTAAACCAGCAAATGAGAAAAAACCCTTTGTGGAATGCTGCAGTTTTGCTTTTCCTAAAGCTCCTCTGTACAGTGACTTTGCACTGCTTTGGGCTTCAAATGTTCCATCTGCTTCCAATGTTCATTCTTGTCTCATAAGAAAATGTGTCGTTTGTGAGGTCTGGTACTATTTGCTCTCCATCTGACTGTCTTTTTCTTCTTTTCAGTAGTGTCATTTAGTTCTGTTTGTTCTGAGTAAGATAATTTGAAAAATACATTAAGAAGAGTTTGGGGTACCTTTTTAGATGTTTGTGTAGAGATTTTTGTTTTGTTTTATTAATATTGATAATAATTATGTGAGAAAGTCATCATGCCATGACAGACAATGTAATGGCAGCAAAACAATTTCATTTTTTATTTTCATGCTTCTATTGGTTTTAAAATTGCCTTGTCTCCTTAAGTGCTATTGTACTTGGCTGTTTCCATATGCTGATGTATTGTTTTCAAACGCATGTAGTGTTTAGATATAACAAATTTGCTGAAATAGCATATTTAGATCTTTTGCCAATGCTATTGGTATACCTTGAAATGAACCACTTTGAATAGAAAGTTTATAGAGTTATTGTTGTCTTGCAAAATCTTGGATTGCCGATTTAATAGATAATAAAAACTTGTTTTTTGTAGTGATGATATTCTGGGAAAATGTGCAGCTAAATTTCGAGAGGCATCAATCTCTTCTAATAATTTGGCACTTGCCTAGAGGAAATTACTGAGCTCTTTAGCCCAATTGCCAAGTCAGGTTACTAATGTATTACTAGCTTAGTAACATATAAGGAATAATAGAAAGGAATAAAAGACACTGTAAGTGCTAATAAGGTTTGCAAAACTAGACCTAATTTAATCGCAAAGAAATCAGAGAAAAAAAGAATGATGTAAAGTGTGACATAGCAAAGGCAGCAGGGTTCATAAGAGTCCCAGAGTGAGCTGTCACTTTACATATAACATTGTTAAGTTTTTCAGAACTAGCTGCACAAACCGTTAGTATTGATGCTGCCTTGGGGGCTGTGAGGCGGCCTAGCTGATATCTCAAAGTCCCTTCTATACCTGTTTAATTTAAAAAAAAAAAGGGGGGGGGGGCAATAAAAACATGCTTTTTTTTTCCTTTCTTCCCTTCAATTTTTTTATATTAGCATCTGTGCTTTCTAAGATCTGATTTGGCTGTTACTGAAGGCAGTATCTCTTACCAGTGACTGCTACAGTCTTTTTCTAGCAGGGGAAGATTTTTTTCTTTCTTGTTCGGATTTGGGGTTTTTTGGGGTTTTTTGTTTGTTTTTGTTTTGTTTTAATGCAACTTTGTAGCTCTTTACTACCTTCTTGTTTGTTTGGGTTTTTTCCCCACCCATTTCCCTGCCTCATAACCTCGCCAATGTGCTTTTCTTTCATCTGTGTGATCCTCTCTATTGTGGGTGAGTGCCATCTGTTTCTGCAGAATTTTATTGCTTATTCCACAAGCATTATATATGATGCTAGAAGAGATGAGACTGCAGTCCAGAATTAGGTTTGGTAAATTGGAAGCAATATGAAGGAAGTTCCTATCAACCTGGCTGTTAGAAA